AAAAGAAGACAGAGAGAGCATGGACATGACGTGCCCAAGATTGCAGAAAGTGAGTGGCAGAAAAAGAAAACCTGATTACAATCATTTTCCATCACTTCTCTATCCCACAAAGAATAAGTAGACATGTTGTGTGTGACTTCCAGAATGCTCCCTAAGGGGAAGGCACTACACTTTTGTCCTCTTTTCTTTCCTCTTCTTGCTGCTTAGGATGCAGTTGTAATGACTGAAGCTCTAGTGGCCACCTTGGGGCAAAAGGTAATAAAAGAAGTAACATACAATGGAGGAGAAAGAAGTCTGTGTCTGGCCAGGCACGGTGGCTCAGGCCTGTGGATCCCAGCTCCTGGGCTCCAGTGATCCAAAGCAGGCAGATTACTGGAGCCCAGGAGTTCAGGACAAGCCTGGGTAACATAGAAAGACCCCATCTCTAGTAAAAATACAAAAATTAAAATTAAAAAAAAATAGCCATGAGTCTGAGGTGGGAGGATCCCTTGAGACTGGGAGGTTGAAGCTGCAGTGAGCCAAGATTGAAACACTGCACTCCAGGCTGAGCCACAGAGTGACAACCTGTCTCAAAAAAAGAAAAAAAAATAGTCTGTGTCTTTGAAGACTTCAGTGAGCCACCATTCCAACCTTGAGCTTCCTATCCTGGAATTTCTTTCATGTGTGAAAATAAACTATTATGTGTTTAAATCAATGTAAATCGGGTCTCTGCAACGTCCAGATAAACCTAATCCCAATTATCATGAAGGACTTTTTCAATCATTTGGTACAGGTTGAGCATCTCTAATCTGAAAACCTGAAATCTAAAATCCTCCAAAATTGGAAACTGTTTCCACCACATTCAACCAAGTCATCAATATTTTTCTTTTAAAAGAGGGTAGAAGGCCGGGTGTGGAGGCTCATGCCTCTAATCCCAACACTTTGGGAGGCTGAGGCGGGCGGATCACAAGGTCAGGAGTTCAAGACCAGCTTGACCAACAGAGTGAAACCCCGTCTCGACTAAAAATACAAAAAAAATTAGCCAGGTGTGGTGGTGGGCATCTGTAATCCCAGCTACTCAGGAGGCTGAGGCAGGAGAATCACTTGAACCTGGGAGGTGGAGATTGCAGTGAGCTGAGATGGCGCCACTGCACTCTAGCCCAGGCGACAATGTGAGACTCCCATCTTAAAAAAAAAAAGATGGTAGAAATTTTCTCATTGCTGTCCCTCTCCACGCCTGTGATTCCACACATCAGCCAGTGATAATTTTAAACAAGAACTGAGGCCAGGCATGGTGGCTCCACTCCCAACAGTTTGGGAGGCTGAGGTGGGAAGATTAGTTGTGGCCAGGAGTTTGAGAGCAGCCTGGGTAACATAGCAAGACCCTGTCTCTACAAAAAGTAAAAGTTACCTAGGCATCATGGTACATGCCTGTAGCCCTAACTATTTGGGAGGCTGAGGCAAGTGGATTGCTTAAGCCTAGGAGTTTGCAGTGAACTATAATTACATCATTGTACTCTAGCCTAGATGACAGAGCAAAGCCCTGTCTAAAAAAAAAAGATGTACAGGGAGAGAGAAAGAAAGGAAGGAAGGGAGAGACAAGAAAGAAAGAGAGAGAGAAAGAAAGAAAGAGAAATGAGAAAAGGAAGGAAGGAAGGAAAGAAGGGGGAAAGAATGAATTGGGGTCACTTACTCTAATTGCTTCCTTTGCACTGAGAGTAAAAGTTGAACTCCTTATGAGGTCTTATGGCCCTTTGGGATTTTCACTCTCCATGGCTTATGGACCCACCTCAGGTACTGCCTCTCTTTTCTTCCTCAGGCCTTCACACAAAAATGACTGAGGAAAAAAGAAAAGAAAGGGAAAAGAAAAAGAATGACTGATTTATGTCCTTTGCTTACTCCTCCCCAGTCCCTAGATGGCAGCTTAAACAGTTTCTCTCTCTTTGAAACAGATTACACCTGTTATTCTTTCATAGCCTTCCTGTCCTCTAGATCACTGTACATATGTGAATAATTACTGTGTATATTTTTTCACTACAAATACTGTGTGTATCCCTAAGATTCTTTACATTTCACAAAGAGCCAGAGCCTATTTGTATATTCACTACTTTGTCCCCAAGACTTGGCTCAGGCCTGAAGATATATAATAGATAGTTGATAAATGTTTGTTAAATCGATGAATATGCTAGGTTTTGTGCTGTCATGGGAGAACCATGGATGAAATACATACAGATACAATTAGAGAAATTGACCCTCTAGTAGGGGAGATATGACTGAAACATAGATAATTATAAGGCAAGACAATTAACATTACAGGAAACCCTGCAAGTCCTGAGGAAGGGGCATTTAGCCAAGAAAATCGGAGGAAATTCTGTGGAGAGAGTTCACTGGACATTTGATGGAGGGAAAGCATACACAAAGGCATCAGTTTGAGAATGTGGAAAAAGATGTGTGGATCCATTTAACTGGAGCGCAGAGTACACCAATGCAAAAGAGACGCCAGGCGTGAGCCACCAGAGACCAGCCTGGCCAACATGGTGAAACCCTGACTCTACTAAAGATTAAAAAATTAGCCAGGTGTGGTGCTGCACACCTGTAATCCCAGCTACTCCAGAGGCTGAGGCAGGAGAATCACTTGAACCTGGAACTTGGGAGGCAGAGGTTGCAGTGAGCTGAGATTGTGCCACTGTACTCCAGCCTAGGTGACAGAACAAGACTCCATCTCAAAAAAAAAAAAGATGGCTGGAAAGGAGAGGTGACATCAGATTGTCATGGGCCTCATTTGCCAGGCCAAAAATTCTGGTCTGTATTCTGGAGGCAGTGTTGGGTAACAACAGTAGCTCAAACTAGTCTCTCAAAACCTTTTTAAAAAACATACAATAAAATTAAAAATAATAGTACAGTAAACACCTATATACTTACCACATAGATTTAACAATTAACATTTTGGCATGGCATGTTTGCCTGATAGGTAGGGGGGTAGACAGACAGACAGATGGATGTGTGTGTTTGCATTTCAAAGTATATATCTTTCCTCGGCGCTGTGTGTGTGTGTGTGTGTGTGTGTGCGCGCGTGTGTGAGATTGGGCCTCCGTCACCCAGGCTGGAGTACAGTGGCATGATCACAGCTCACTGCAGCCTCAACCTCCTGGGCTCAATCAATCCTCCCACCTCAGCCTCCTAAGTAGCTGGGACTACAGATGCATGCCACCATGCCCAGCTAATTTTGTTTTTTTGTTTTTGGTAGAGACAGAGGTTTACCTATGTTGCTCAGATTGGTCTCTTATCTTTCTTTTTTGCTGAACCATTTTAAAGAGAGTTACAGACTCTCATAACTCTTCATTCCTATGTTTCTCCAAGTTGTAAAGATGTTTCCCCCTGTACAGCATACCATTATTACAATGAACAAATGTAATAACTAACATCTAATACCCGTCCATTTTTAAATTTCTCCAACTGTCTCAAAAAAGTCTAAAAGGCTGCTTTTCTAGAACCAGAATCCAGTCAAGCATTTGATTGTGCCTTTTTTAAGTTTTTTCAAATTTAGAACAATCACCTCTGACCATTTTTTACAACACTGATTTTCCTTGATCTTTACGTCTTATCTTCTATAAAGTAGGTGTCTTGTAGAATGCTTCCAGTTCTTGATTTATCCGATTATCTACTTGGGGATATTGTTTCACTGGTTCCTCCAGCCCTTGTAAACTGGAGCTTAGATCCAAAGCCTTGATTAGATTCATTTTCAGTTACTTTTGGCAAGAAAACACCATTAAGTGATGCTGTATACTTCATGCTGCAGCACACTGGGAATCTCATAAAAATGTTGGTTGTCCAAGGGTTACTGACATTAAATTGGATAACTGAGTTAAGGTGGGGACTGCCAGATCTCCCTGTTGTAAAGGTACATTTCTCCTTTGTGATGGCAAGTAACCTGTGAGATGTGTTTGGCAACACAACTCACATGTTTGTAGCTATTTGAAGTTTATCAAACACATTCAAACACACTTAATCACAACTGCATTCCTGCCAGGTTTTATTCCTGTTTAACAGAAGTGAAAACTGAGACTGTGATTGCCTAAACAATTTTTTAAAAGTCACAGAGCCAGTAAGTAGCAAAAGCAGGACTCAAGCCTAAATGGATTAACTCTAGTTTAGTTTTAAAAAAATTAATCCCAAATAGCCTACATCTAACAGATTTTATTTTGCTCTATACATTCAGAGAAATTCACTAGTAATAAGCTATGGAAATGATGCCTGATAGTATAGAAATGAAATGATCCCTTATAGTAAAAATTGCAGATTTTTTAATTTCATTATTATTATTTTTTGATACAGAGTCTCACTGTGTTGCCAGGCTAAAGTGCAGTGGCACTACCTTGGCTCACTGCAACATCTGCCTTCCCGGTTCAAGTGATTCTCCTGCCTCGGCCTCCCGAGTAGCTGGGACTACTGGTGGGCACCACCACACACGCTAATTTTTGTATTTTTAGTAGAGACGGGGTTTCACCATGTTAGCCAGGATGGTCTCAATTGTGGACCTCGTGATCCACCCACTTCAGTCTCCCAAAGTGCTGGGATTACAGGCGTGAGCCACCGTGCCTGACCCTAAAAATGGCAGATTTCTAAAGAATATTCTCTCTCCAGAATTCAGTAAATACTTCTCTTCTTTTGAAACGATTTTCTTTTTCTTTTTTTTTTTTTTTTTTTTGAGACGGAGTTTCGCTCTTGTTACCCAGGCTGGAGTGCAATGGCGCAATCTCGGCTCACCGCAACCTCCGCCTCCTGGGATCAGGCAATTCTCCTGCCTCAACCTCCGGAGTAGCTGGGATTACAGGCACGCACCACCATGCCCAGCTAATTTTTTGTATTTTTAGTAGAGACGGGGTTTCACCATGTTGACCAGGATGGTCTCGATCTCTTGACCTCGTGATCCACCCGCCTCGGCCTCCCAAAGTGCTGGGATTACAGGCTTGAGCCACCGCGCCCGGCCTGAAACGATTTTCTAAAAAAAGATACTTTAGAATAAACAGCGGACGGAAGGGCCGCGGCGGTGGAGCCAGAGCGAGCAGGGTTTCCGCAGCCTCACCTGTCCCCATTCACCCGAGGTATCGGCGGCGGCGGGGAGCGCACCTCAGGCGGAGAGAGCCGCTGCCAGGTTTGACTGATATTACAAAGGATCCAGACTTTAATGGAATCTATGATGAAGACCTTAATGAGGATCCAACATATGATCCCAGTAGCCCTGAAGAAACAGCTCTATTTATGAAATATGCTGAAAATATTATGCTAAAGTTAACATTCAGTACCACACAAGTTCAACAGTATGAAAATGTCTTTATATTTGAAACAGACTATTGGCTTACTAATGCTATAAGATATAATCAAGATGATCTTGATATTTGTACCTACCAGAGACTACAGCAAAGATTATGTCTTCAAAAAAAGATTATTCAAAAACGCTTTGAGAAGAAAGAAGATATCAGAAGAGGGATAGGATACCTAAAGTTAATATGTTTTCTGATTCCATTTCTACTGAGATTAAAGAAGAAAATGAAAGTTCCATATTTAAATAGTCTGCTTCAGCCTTTTTCAGATGACAAGGTCAAGACAGAGCGAGAATTGCCTCCATTTATTTATGGAAGAGATTTTAAATGCCAGAATTTTCACTACAAAGATAATCAATATTTTCATGTTCACGGAGAAATTGAATTTGATATCAGCACCGCTTCAATTGAAAATGCTTTGGAAGATTTTCAGAAAAATTTAGAAAAGATACGAGATTGTGCTGCTAATACATTTATAGAAGATTCAGGATACAAAGAATATTACTCAATTCCAGTCATGGAATTTTATGGAAAAAGGTACTATGTGATCTATTTTGAACTTGCAACTTTCTATCAGCAAATATATAAGACACAGTTGTGGGGAGCCATAAATGGAATAGTGAACAATCTGAGACTGAAAAGACTTCCACTGACAGATGCTCAATTAAGTGAACAATTTAAGAAAAAATTTGGTTTCAAAAAAGCTATGAAATGCAAGAGTATTCCAATTGGTATGAAGTCTGCTGTTGAAAGAGGGTTGTCTGCAGTTTTCCATACATTAAGCCATAAACCCTCAAGCCTGACAATCAATGTTGCAGATGAAGCAGGTTATACTATTTTTCATCATGCTGCCCTGCACAACAGAGTTTCTATTATATGTCAACTGTGCAATGCTAATTTTACGGTCAACCAGAGGCGCTTGGTTACGTTCAGCCAAGGAATCAGTGCGCTCCGCTGTTACTTGCTGCCACTTCAGGAGCACTGGATACTATTCAGTACCTGTTTTCTGTCCGTGCTAACTGGAGAAAAACAGATATTAAAGGGAATAATATAATCCATTTATCAGTGTTAACTTTTCATACAGAGGTTCTCAAATATATAATAAAGTTAAATATTCCTGAACTCTCAGTGTGGAACACTTTGAAATGTTACAGTGTGAAAGCTATAAACGAAGGATGATGGCTGTCATGTCCTTGGAAGTAATTTGCTTAGCAAATGATCAATACTGGAGATGTATTTTGGCTGCAGGCACCATTCCTGCCTTAATCAGTCTATTAAAAAGTTCCAAAATAAAACTGCAGTGCAAAACTCTCAGGTTATTAAGTAATATCTCAACCCACAAGAGTGTAGTGCATGCTTTGGTGGAAGCAGGAGGCATTCCATCTCTAATCAACCTACTGGTTTGTGATGAACCTGAACTAAACTCTCGCTGTGCTGTCATTCTATATGATATTACTCAATGTGAAAACAAGGATGTTATTGCCAAATATAATGGAATCCCAAGTCTGATAAATCTCTTGAACTTAAACATAATAAGTGTGCTAATAAATGTAATGAACTGTATACGGGTATTATGCATAGGAAATGAAAACAATCAAAGAGCTGTGAGAGAACATAAAGGCCTCCCATATCTTATCAGATTTCTGAGTTCTGATTCAGATGTGTTGAAGGCTGTATCTTCCACTGCAATTGCTGAGGTTGGGCGTGACAATAAGGAAATTCAGGATGCTATAGCTCTGGAGGGAGCAATTCCTCCTCTGGTGGCTCTTTTTAAAAGGAAACATATTAGTGTCCAAATGAAAGGTGCAATGGCTGTTGAATCATTGGCAAGTCACAACCCTTTTATACAGAAAGCATTTCTGGAAAAATCATTAACTAAATTGTCGGGGTCCGGCACGTCTGCCGGGGGGCTACCGACCTGCGGGAGTCCCCCAGACCACCAACGTAGATGTCTTGTTCAACCTGAGAGACAGAGTGCACGGAAGTGAAAGAATACAGGAAAGCGGAGTCTGGAGGTCTGCGTAAAACGCAGCAAATTTATTTTTGTGGGTTACAGCTTTTATACCTTTTTTCTTGTTTACATTTACTTTATCTCAGCAAAAAAGGGGTAGACAGAAAGGAAATAGAAACGCCATAAAAAACAGTTATCAGGGGCTTGTGATAACCACTCACAAAGTAGTTTAAGGGGACCTGTGATAGTAGTTTACAAAGCAGTGTGTTTTTCAAAGACACACAGTGCAAACAAACAGTGGTGCCTTTAAGGTGGCTTGTCAAACCTGTTTTCCAACAGGAGTTTAGATCAAAGGCTTAGCTCCAGGGAAAATATGGGCAGGGGTCTCTTGTCCCTCTTAGGCGTCTCAATTGCAGCAAGTTTATTGCTTACACAGAGACTGATGGGGACATGAAAGTAGACAACACAATGCCCTCATAAACCACAGACCTTTGCTTTGCATTCTGTTGTTGCTTCAGTGACTCAGCCCACGGCCTTTGTCTCAGCTCGACAGCCCTCGAGATGGAGGAGTGCAGATAGGTCCAGCAGCCAAACTGGGGCGAGTCATGCTGCTGTCTCAAGCCCTTGGCGCGAACACCGCACACTAAATAAATATCTTTTAAAACTCCTAAAGGCACATCAAATGGATGTTAAGGAACAAGGAGCCATTGCACTTTGGGCCTTGGCAGGACAAACACTAGAACAACAAAAATATATAGCAGAACAGATTGGATACAGCTTTATAATAAATATGCTTTGGTCACCCTCTACTAAAATGCAGTATGTAGGAGCTGAAGCTACCATAGCTCTAGGAAAGGACAGCAGTATGCATCAAAATCAAATATGTGAAGGAAATGGGATTACACCATTGGTTCATTTACTAAGAATTAGTAAGATTGCCGAAGGCACACTTCTCAGCGTCATCAGAGCAATGGGATCCATTTGTATTGGTGTAGCCCATACAAGCAATCCTGTCAGTCAACAACGTATTGTAGATGAAAATGCCTTTCCAATACTTATCCAACTGCTAAGAAATCACCCTTCTCCTAACATTAAGGATATTTGCTTAAGAGCAGGGTACGCATTAACCCTTTTTGCCTTCAATAATCACTTTCAACAATGCAAAATATTGGAAAGTGGAATAATGACCATATCTATTTTTGAACCTTTTCTTGAATCAACAATTGAAACTGAGAAGGCAATGGCAGCTTTCAGATTGTCGTATTGGCTAAAGTCATTAGAGATGTGGACCACATGACTTTGTCTGCAAGAGGTGTTACTATTTTAGCTGACAGTCTGTATTCAGTTCAGACTTCAACTATTGTCTTGACAGGGAATTTAATAGCAAGCCCGATTCATTCTAGAGCTGGTATCTCAGAAGCATTTACCACATTTGAAACAGTCCAACAGCTCTTCTATCATTTGTCCTCAGGGACAAAAGAGTCTGGAGAAGAATGGAGGACCATCCAAAATTCCTGTCTTTAAAAAAGGGAAAGAGTACGGAAGAAAATTAAGAACCTAAAATTCAACCAAAAGATTCTTTGACTTTATTACCTCCTGTAACTAACTTTGTGGGACGCTTCAAAGCAACAAAAAAGACCAAGGATTCCCATAATTTTTTTTCTTTTTCACCTATAATTACATCAGCTATCACAAATGTATCACGACAAAGAATAGTGTGTTTGAGCCAACTTGGGAAACACGTCCAGAAAGCCAACCCAGAGCCTGAAGAAAGCTAATAAAAGCACTTCAGTATGGAAAAAAAACAACAAAAAAGATACGTAAATTTATTGACACTGGGAAGCACACTGCCAAGAGATATTCAATTTCTTTTACAGTATCTAACAGCTATTTCTTTAGCCTGTTCAAACTAGCAAAATGTAACAGATGCTGGATTCCCCGAAGTACAGCGCTTTGGGCTACATTTGCAACAATAGCTTACATTTAAATGTTACATTAGTTACTGGATTTGTAATCTTCACAAATGTGTGAATAGTCAGTTGATCAAAAATAACGACTTTCTGCTACAAGAGAACTCATAGCAGAAAATGTTCCCAACACAAAGATAATGTTTGAGATGATGGATATCTCAATTACACTGATTTGATCATCACACATTGAATACATATATCAAAATATCAGATGTATCCCTGAAAATATGTACAACTATATCAGTTTAAAGATACAAAAAAATCATTTTCTGTCCAAAGTTAAGCATATACAGGGCATCTATGATGCTAGAACCAAGGGCCTTTTGGCCTGGAAGAGACACATAAGTCAGGTCATAGCGAATCTACTTCTGAAGGGGACAGAATTAGTAGAGGCATATGACATTCCAGAATCAAAACACAAGGGGTTTGGAGCGACAAAGAGCAAACCAGGGAAGGGAACGAGGGGACCACGGATCCAGGAAGGGGCTGGAGAAGCTACCTCTGGACACCTCTGGAATCTGGGTCTCCAGCTTCGAGTTAGAAGTGGGGGGGTCCTCCAACGGAGCCTCAGGCGGGGGCTGATTACCGAGAGTTATTCTGTCCGCTAGGTTCTTCCTAACAAGAAACAAAGAAGGTCTTAATTCAGAAAAGGGAGCACGACATCACACCCACGTCAAAAATTAAAAAAAAAAAAAAAAAGCTTTTAAGAGGCCGAGTCACTTTCACCTCCCACCAACTTCCTAAACGCTGGAAGCAGCGACACGCCCCCAGCCGGTCTTCTCTGATTTCATTGGTTTCCCCGGCCTGCCCCTCTCATTACTTCTCTCTCATTGGTCAGCAATGCCGCTTTCACAGCCAATTCTCAGAGCCAATCATTTCCAACTATTGCCCCGCCTCTCCACCACGTGAGTGGCATAGGTGCCAACCAATAAAAAAAGAAAATGAGGATGCGCAGACGAAATTCCTTCCCTTTTTCCTCAACTCGTTCAGTAAATGGTAGAAAAGGTGGAGCAGCTGATACCAACTACCAATCCTTAAGGGCGGAAAAGGATGATGAGAAGAGCGATGGGAGGGGGTGACGTGGCAGTGACAGGAGCATAAACTGAAATGAGTGGCGGAAACATCCGCCAATCGGTGATGAGATTGGTCGGGTACCCCGCATTCTCCCGTCCTCCCTGAGCGCTGGAAACTTCAGAAAAGCACCAATGAGCTTCTTCATATGTCTGATTGGCTTTTATCCCAACCAATCAACGGTGGGTCTGGCGGACGCGTCCCACCCCAGGCTCTCACTGGGCGCTGTAGAATGACAGGCCCGAGAGAAATGCCAATGTCCTCGGGGTCTTCCGCAAGTGACATTCAGCGGCACCAATCGACGTCCTCCTTCCCGGCGGCCGAGCCCTCCTCCCCGCGGCTGGCCTGGCGGGGCGGGGACGCTGCGCAGCGGTGGCTGATGCGCTAGCCGTGTGGGGCTCTCCGGGCGGCGACGGCGGGTCTCGTAGGCGGTTCCGGTCCTGTATCTCCAGGCGGCGGCGGCTCATGGCGGCGACGGAGCTGAGAGGAGTGGTGGGGCCAGGCCCGGCAGCCATTGCAGCACTTGGCGGCGGCGGTGCCGGTCCCCCAGTGGTGGGAGCAGGCGGCGGCCGCGGAGACGCGGGGCCAGGCTCCGGGGCCGCGTCAGGGACGGTGGCCGCGGCGGCGACGGGAGGCCCGGGCCCCGGGGCCGGGGGAGTGGCGGCGGCTGGCCCGGCCCCTGCGCCGCCGACTGGGGGCTCGGGCGGCTCGGGCGCTGGGGGTTCGGGCTCGGCTCGAGAGGGCTGGCTCTTCAAATGGACCAATTATATCAAAGGTTACCAACGGCGGTGGTTCGTGCTGAGCAACGGGCTCCTGAGCTACTACAGGTAACTGCTTCCGGGGCGCCGTCGCTCACCTTGCCTCCACCATCGCTGCCGACAGTCCTGGCGCCGTCATTCCCACCAGCAGGCACCGCAGCCAGGGTCGCCCCAGGCCCCTTTTCGTCATCTGTGCGGATTGACCCCGGGGCCGGAGTCCACTGTCACGAAAGTGAAAAGCCCCTGGACGCACACCTCCCCTCCCCTCCTCTCGGGTTACCTACCCTTTGTGACATATCTTTCCCTAGCTCTCGGC